TTGCTTATTTAGTAGGCTGTTAAGTGTTGTGTCCAAGTTGGTCTTCTGGGTAATAACACTATGTGGACTTGTAGGTTCAAACCAGGATTTCAGAGCCTTCACTTCACTGCTGTAAGTACCTCAGATCTCAGATTAGGTATCTCGTTAGCTGGTTAATTATTTATTATGATTAGTTGATCAGTAATTTAGCTACAGCTCGTAGTTAGTGCTGAAAGGAACACTACTTGCAGCAACGTATACACCTGAAATTTACAAGTAAGAATGTGTATGTTGTGCATGAGATCTTCAATGTAGAAGCAGAAAGTGGTTAATCACTCTGTACAATATCAAATTGATACAATTAATTCATCCCTCAGGATGGAGCAGCAACAGCTGATGAGGATCGAATTTTAGTGATTGGAGCCACTAATAGACCTCAGGAGCTGGATGAAGCTGCAAGACGACGATTAGTCAAAAAGCTTTACATTCCTTTACCTGAGTTTGAGGTATGGTAATTAAAGCTGTAGTTGGAATATATGACATCTTTAAAACTTAAAGTCAAATATGATTTTTAAAAAAGTTTCTACCTGAAAAAATTCTTGTTTATAATAGTCTTCAATATCAGTCCTCTTTCTATATTTTCTATTATGCCTTTTTTAGTAATTTGTTATTCCTAATACCTTGTTAGTAAATCTCAGTGTCTGTACAGTCTTAGGAACACTGAAGAAACTGCTGATGGTACTTTAGATCATGTTCTACCCATTTCTTACTTCAGAATAATCCTCCCATGCCATAGCATAATGTCTATTCAGTTGAGAGAGCATAATTAAGTAAACTAAGGGGCAACTAATTATGTGTTTCTTTCCCCTTTCAGGCTCGGCATCAGATTGTTGAACGCCTCATGTTCAACGAAAATCACTGCATGACAGAACAAGATGTGAATGATATTTCTTTGCTAACTGCTGGATATTCTGGTGCAGACATGAAAAATTTATGCCAAGAAGCCTCTCTAGGACCCATTCGTTCACTTGGTTTCATTGATATTCAGAATATAAGTCCTGATCAAGTTCGTCCAGTAACACTTGATGATTTCAAATCTGCACTAAGCAGAGTTCGTGCGAGTGTATCACCACATGACTTGGACAGTTATGTGGCTTGGGATAAACTGTATGGTTCAGGAGGAACAGTGGTGAGTGGAACATAAAGGAGAATAGTTTAATAAACCTAACAGAATATACTTCTTAGCAGGAAGAAAGAATCATTCTTAATATGTGCAGTGAAACATTAATTATTTAAATTAATGAAAATACTGTCTCCTGATATATCAACATATTTAATTTCTTGAAGAGTTCATAGTTACTTAGCTGGTCAATACTAAAATTCCTTTCTTTTATGGAACTTATATGTTCAAAAAAAAACAGTGTTGGATTCTGTATTTAGCCAGTTTAATCCAGTCCACACCTTCATATCCTATTTTCCAAAGACCCATTTTAATGTTATCCTCCAAAATAAATTTGAATCTTCCAAGTTGCCTCTTTCTTATGATATTAAAACCAAATTTTGTATATCTTTCTCATGTGCCCCCACTCATCTCAAGCTTGATTTTTTCACCCTTATAGTATCTGGTGAAGAGTACAAATTATGAACGTCATTAAGTCCAAATATTCCTCTTAGCACCCTGTTCTGAAACACCCTCAGTCTGTAATCTTTGCTTAAGGTAACAGAAGTGTACCGTCACCCTTGGTGGACTAGTGGTTAGCGTGTTCACCACTGGACCCAAGGTTCGTGGGTTCAATCCTGGCCAAGGTCAATGGATTTTTAAGGATAATAAAAATCCGTAGCAAAACTTCCTTCGGAGGGGAAGTAAAGCCGGCTGTCCTATGTCGTAGATTTACGGCATGTAAAAACCTTACAAGCATGATACGAGATGTTTCGTAAGCAAAATTCAGTGGCCATTTCTTACCTAAGTCTCCTGATTAACTGCTAGATGGCTCTGGCAGTCAAATCAGGATTGAGTAGAAATTGTGCAGAGTTAGTGGACTATCACTCACTACTCGTAAATGCACACTTCAAGACCAAGAAACCTCCGGAAAAGGAGGTGGCGAAAACCCACAACCCGGTTGTAGAGCCAAGAAACAAACGACAACAGAAGTATACCATAATTCCTCAGGATGAGGTAAGTGTGAAAGTTGTGTATAATCACTGTGTCTACTGTCACAATTAGTTGATTTAGGTTTAATAATTTTAAATTGCATTTCACTGTGTCGAATAGAGAACAAATATAAGTTAATCTCAACGTTCTTAATTATAAGTAATGAAAACCAGAGTGATATAATTGTTCATTTTAATCAGTAATGCTTAGTGAAACACTACAATGTTTAAGAATCTGATGTATCTTCATCTGGGGGGAAGAAGTTTGAAGTTTTAAATATCTCTGGGACTTCATAAACTGGTGAACTGACAACAGGATCTGACTTTTTCTATAACAAAATGAAGTGAAAGAAAATTAACAGGAGGTTCTGGAAAGAAGTAGTGAACATACTTTCCTTTACATGGCTGTACGTATGTAGATAGGCTAGTACACAATACTACTATTGTTCATAACTTAGATTACTAAGTTAATACATAAAAATTGTATATTTATGTATGCTCTATCTTCATCCAACTTTCACAACCTTACATGCCACAGAACTAAAGTTGGATTAATGATTTTAAAGTTGATGCAAGTATAACAATCATTTATGAAACTAAAACTCATGTAGAGGCTTTGATTAAACTTACAAAAAATAGTGGCTTCAAAATGTTCTTCAGTTTTCCATCACTGTTGCCAACATCAGCCTCAGCAGTTTCCATGTGTGACTCGACCACATCAAGATCTTGTTTCACATGATTTAGAAAGGTTTCAAGTCTGTCAACCCGGCCACATAGAGCTGTAAGCCTATCTTTATACGATAGTATGTTTGGTACGGATCCATCTAGACTGTGCAGTCCATTAGTCTGCACCTGCAAACATAAAGATATCAAAGAAGCGTTGAAAGGTGTACTCTTATTTTTAAGCACATTCTTTAAATGTATGTTCATGATATTTTATCCCTCATTAGTGTTCATGTTCACATACTGCACACTAAAATCAACTGTTATGTAAAGTTGCCTCATAGTATAGGCATTCCTTTGCTTGTAGTCATAATTTCCATTGTTGACAAAGGCAGCGAGTTCTATTGCAAAGAGGCATACATTATTTTTCCATGTGTTTTGTCAAATATTCACTACATCAAAAGAGATTGAAGTAAAAGTTGTGATTTTTATAGCATTCAATATTGTGTCTTGTTCTAGTTTTATTATGATCATTTTTTGAAAAATGTTACTTTGGGCTGATACCAGTATGAGTCAAGATTGCATTTTAGTTATATTTTATACAAATTGATGCCTTCTGGTAGAACCAGTTATCTGATACAGATCACATTACTACTATATGTTAAAGGGATAAGGCTGACATGTATCCAAATTGTAAAGTTCTGTTTACTTTTCCTGATTATATTTGATTCCATACATAGTGATGAGAAGAAAGCCTTTAAGCAGCCATGTACACTTACCATCTCCATTAGGCTTTCAAATTCTTCCAAGCGTGTCAGCATGTCATCTACAATTTCCTCAACAGGTATAAGCTGGAAAATATTAATGGGTTTCTATCAAAAGATTCTCAAGCAATGGCTGCCACTGTATCTTGTGCAGCCTTTGGACTATGTGTAATATTGCATTACTCTGTATATTAAGTGAATAATTAATAAAGATAATTCTAATAAACTTGTTAAAGAAAATTATTAAGTCATATTCAAACATGACTGTGATGGTAAGTTAGAATTTGTAACTGATGAAGTTTTAATAAATTGCCATTTTTATTTTTAGTCGAGAGACCAGAAAGGCAATAAGAATGGGTGAATGTAGCCCTTGGCCTTAAAAGATTCAAAATTCATGGCTTATATCATTGTTTCAAATACTGAAGATTGCTGTCTTCTGGGTTGTAGTCTGGTAGATGTAAATGCATGTATGATATAAACTGCAACATTTGCACCTACTAAAGAAGATAGCATCCTTTGGGTAGGTAGGTAAGAATCATGTCTCTAGATAGAAACACATAAGTTTGCGAATATTTAGGTAAATTTTAAGTGGTATATTGGCAGAAAGGAAGCTATATGCATTAACTTCATTGTCTGTGCTAACAATAAGCATAAAAAAATAAATGTGTAAACCAAGTTATTGTAACATTACCTCTTTTCTGAGATCAACTTTAAGGTATTCCACGTAGTCATTTACTATTTCATTTATCATGATTTTTGCTTAGAACCACAACACATTTGTTTCTGCCCTACATTTCGTTAAAATGTCCACTGATAAATGAAAAGTGGAAACTCTACTTATCCATGGAAATAATCGAGTCATTTATACTAGTTCCCTATCTTATCTCTAGATGGTACTACATGCTGTATTAGTGGCTGCCGCTTGATGTACGTACTTATGTATTTATTTATATTGTAAAATTGCTGTGTGTTTCATCTTACTATCATGTATCTGAAACTGGTGTTTGGTGGAACTGACATTACTATGTATACTAACTAACTAACTAACTACATGGCTTACCGAACCCAAAGGTTCATCACCGAATTAACCAAAGCCCTCCAACGGACTCCGTCTTGGGCCAACAAAATCCAGTTTCCTTCATCTCCAATCTTCCATAGATCCCGCCTGACATTATCATCCCATCTACGTCTAGGTCTCCCAAGCGATCTCTTCCCCTCCGGCTTCCCAACCAATACCCGGTGCACACGTCTTGTCCCATCCATGCGCGCTACATGCACCGCCCATCTCATTCTTCTCGACTTAATCAACCTGACAATATTAGGGGAGGAGTACAGATTTTCAAGCTCATCATCATGCAGTTTGTGAAAGCTATGCATAACTTGCGTTTCATTAACCGAATCGTAAATGTCTGGCGATCTTATTGGTGACCTACAGCATTTCAAGGAAGACTGGCTGTAGTAATAGTAAAGTAAAGCTGTCCCACTATACGCCATGTAAGTGCTTGGGGGGAGTGGAGGTATAACTCCTCTCTTTCTTGACCTCAGCACTAGATGGGGCTGAGTGGTCGGCATCACGCCCCGGCCGGCTTTACCCCCAGGAAAGAACCCCGGTACCCACTATAGAGGAGGCTGGGTGAGCCCCAGAGCCGGTCTGGACGCAGAGGCCATAGGAAAAAATCCTCTGCCCCCGTCAAGGATCGAACCCCAGTAGACTGGCTGTAGTTTAGATTGGAAATGAACCACAGCAAGTAACACTGTTACTAATTAACACTGAAGTGAAACAGTTTAATATTGTCTGTCTTTGACCTGCATGTTTCTCCTTCAAATCTACTTATCAAATATAAGTGGAATTGGTGTTTGTGGTATATGTTCAGTTACTAGGTGAATATTAGTCCATATCACTTACAAATACTTATGAATCCTTAGTTAATTTACTTGTAGTTTATCTTAACAGTTCTGTGAGTAGTGCAGACTATTTAGAACCAAATTATAGGATGTTGAATAGTAAATGGTAAAGGATGTGAAAGAGAGTGATTATGGCCTAATTTAAGGTATTATCGTAGCATTTGCCTGGAGGTACTGATGAACACCATACATGTCAGTCAGGATAGCAGGTTTCTGGGCTGAGACATTAATTCAAGACCTCTTGAATATGAGGTGGAATTCTAACCACTCGGTTATAACAGTTGGTAAGTCTTAGTATTTTTTTAATCAGAGCACCAGATTATACAAAATATTGTTACATAAAGGAAAGTATGCATCTCATTGTGAACTACAACTTTATTTACATAAGTTTTATGTGGTGTGTATGTATTTAAAAAGAGGGGAACATGATATATGGCTTGTACAGTGTGGTATCTAGTGTGATATGCTTGATACAGTATGTCTGGAATATGTCCGAAGAATATGTATACAGCCCTCTTCTTGTGGCAGTTTTAGGAACTCTATTTAGGGAGAGGGGATTGGTACTGTGCATGTTTTGTTAGATTAGAATAGAATTTATTTACATTCAATAGATCCATCGTAGGCCTAAACCAAGGATGTAGAACAGGTCATAGCACAAATACAATTCTTGTTTCTAAACCAAATATAAATACATAGTTATAACAGCTATTGACAGATTTTTGGAACCACAGTATTATGGCAAAATGATGAGAACCATCACCATTATTACTTACATGTATTTATAAATTCATCTACCGAGTAGATGAAGTGAGGCAGAAGATACTCTATTAATGCTGGCTTAAATATTTTTATATCGTGGTTTAAACTTTTTATAGTAGGTGGAAGATTATTGAATAACTTAATTCCATTATAGTAAACTCCTGTTAAGAAGAGAATAGGTGGCATGCAGTGCAGAGGGTGGCTTTGAGTTGTCAAATGGTTGCTGCTGCCACCAGTGTTCTTACCTGTTATTAATTTGAAGTTTAAAGACAGTTGTGTGGTATGAGAAATTCACACCATATACACATATGGCATATATATGCAAGATCATATACACATTTTAAGATTGCTATCTTCTGGGTTCTTGCTCCGTGTAGTCTGGTAGATGTTTACCAACGTTTCAGAGGTCTTTACTGCCTCCATCATCGGGGCGACGATCTACCAGACTACACGCCACAACAACCCACAAGACAGCAATCTTCAGACTCACTATCGTGAAAACCTCAAATCCTACATATACACATTTTTCACACAATAAAAAGCAAGATGCTGATTTGTCTGAAAAGGAATGAACCACAGTTATATTTGTATTGAGAAGAAAGAATGATCGTGTTCATTGCACTGGGAGAGGGAGTGTTTTATGCTGAAAGTATTTGTATTTGATTTCTGTTTGGTTTCATGCTTGTACCTATTGTAGTGTTTGCATTTATTCCAATTTTACATTATGAAAAGTTGAAGTATACAATGCAGAAGTTTGAAGCTACTTAATGATTTCCTTTTAAGTGCTTAGGCTATATCCCAGAAGATTAGTATTAGTGACTTACATCATAATTTCTATTGATGTAAGCTCATCAAGCTGACCACCAACGATATAATGTTTAATTAAATTGTATATGGCTTCACCATGGAAAAGCTTAAGTGTACAATTTAAAACAATAACATATGTAGGTCTTTGCATTCAGTCATACCATCTGTTGTTTACATAAATGTGAATGATCTGCCTCTTGGAATAGACACTTGGGATATTTGTTCTCTGCTGTCAAATTCTGGTTTGCCTTTATTTCACACATTGTCCACTGTGGCACGCACGTGATCAGTTGGCAGCAGTACCATCAACACATCCTACAATTGTTTAAGAATTATGATTGTTTATGTTATGTAGAGCCAAGAAACTACAATATGTTAGGTTCTTGGAGGATGATGATGCAATAATAAGCAACAACATACCTGAATCTCATTGTTATAAAATCATGTTGCCAAAGAAACACTTGTAAACAGTGTAGAAACAGTAGTTTATGAGGAAGAATGGTGTTTTCAAAGTCCCAGGTTCCCAGATTTAAGGAAGAAATTAGTAAGTATATTGATGAATGTGTGTTTAATCCTAACCAAATATTAATGCAATTTATTGTATTGTTAAGTATGTTTTAATTTCACCGAGATGTCATTAAGGAATTTCAAACTTCACATAAGCCCTTTCATATACCCAACTTTCTGATCCAGAAAACGAAATACAACTGCAGTAATATTTGGCCGGTTGGGCGGGATTTTAATTTAATCTACCTCCTATCTCCAAAATATGTCTCCCCAACCTCGAAACCTCAGTTAAAGCCTCGGATAGACGGACCTAACAGACCGAATGGAAGAGGGGAATTGAGGAAGCCATGGACTGAGATCCATAGAAGAAGAAGAAGAAGACCAAATATTCCTGCTAGAAATGGTTATGCTGTTCCTTTGTCTCCAATCCCAGCTACATGGCAAGACCATTGTTCTGCCTTTGGTTCTGCTGCCATGGAATGAAGAATGCCACTAGTTGACTTTGTATTATTCATGATGTTCCTTGTAATATAATATCCTAAATTGTTTGCTTACTTCATGCTTCTTAGGTTCACATATAGTCAGACACTCATGATAAATGCTTCCTCCTCAAAGAGATAATTTTTCTTATCTATGCAGAGCCTGTATTACTCATTTTGAAATATATTTCTTATATAATATGAGTGCAATTTTAAGTCTAAAACAGTATGATGTGCAGTGTATTCTCTTTTCCCCCTTAGGCTGTGCACCCCCTCCAACAAGATATGCGCCAAAGACTGACAGCCAAATCAAGGGAATTGTTTCATATGAAAAGCAGACGACTGCCCGGTTTGATGCTGGGAAATTCCACAGCGAAAATGAAGGTGGAAGAATGCCCAGGGTAAAATTAAAATTTTTGATTTTATAAAATCAAGTGAATTGAGTGTAAATTCCCAGTGAGGGAGAATTAGAAGTTAGATTGTAGAGTGTGTCATGTCTAATTAACTTCAAAGAGTAGTGTCCTTAAGATTATAGGCACTCAGCTGATCAAGGTTCATTACCATGTAATGTGTTCACAAGAGCATGCCAGTGGACCTTATCTATAGTTATATAAATCCAGACCACATTCTCACACCATTTCTTTAAGGCCCATTTCAGCATTATTATTTCATTTATGCCTAGGTTTCCCAAGTTTTCTCCTCCAAATGCTCCCCATGCACACTTATGCATGTTACCATCTCACCTTCCTTGATTCAATTGCATTTCCCAAACCCCCACTGTGCTTTCTTCGTACAATGTGCACAAAATGGGAACAGACTTAGCTATGATGTCTGTTTGTCCATTTGCATATTTCAACTCAAGAACTGCTGATCATATTATTATGGAAATTACATCATTCATCCTTTTCAGTTTACTACAGTTGATAATAACCTACCACTAAGCAGCAAGCTAATGAATTTGTGTGTCTTTTTTTAATAAGATCTGGTTATAATGAAACAATCAGACAACTGACTCCTCAACTGTGTTTATGTTATAGAGTTAGGTTAAGATCAAGAAAGCTGTTTTAATTACCATCTGTATATGTTCTTTGACATACTCTTGAACATGAATAGAAATACAGAACACAGACTGGTAAATTATGTACCCAACAGTGAGGCTGTAGTAGACTCTTCACCCACTCAGTTATACAGTGGGCACAAGCATTTCAAGTGTTTGGTGGGGTTTGACTGTAGTGCAGATCCAAATATTCTCATTGTACTTTTATTACTGCAAAGGTGCCAGATATTAAAACAACAAACAGTTAAAAATGTAATCTTCAAAATGTAATTTAGTAATGATATGAAATTCTGGGGAAAATTTATTGAAGAGTATCAAAATTTGGATTAATACTATATGATGGATTAACACTATATAAAATGCTGCCCTGTCTATGCGGAAATATGTTTGGAAAGTGTTCTATTCCAGAATATACATATTATCCCCATGCATTCTTTGCATTGTGCATTCAGAGGTATTAAATCTAGTTTGTTCAGTAGTTCCCACTTTGGCCACCAGATTGTAGCACGTCATTAGTCTACCTCATGAATTTTCTCATTCATAATTTTGTCATCACCACTCGTAGGATATTCAAAATTTCCACATCAGACTTCATCCAAATCTGTCCATTTGTTCTCTTGTAGAATTGACTAGACAGACAGGTGGATGGATACACATGCCAGCTCATAATGCATTCTCCCTGTGTACTAAATGCAAAGAATGCATAACAACTATTAAAATCTTTGGGCTCATTATACTCTGTATCTTTTAATAAACTCTTCTTTTTTATTTCTTCCACACGTTACATTACTGCAACAAGTGCAGTGTTTTGTTTCTTTATTAATCTCATCATTACAGAGTGTTAAATGTGCCGAAGTTCAGTGTAATCCATGAAGAATGTTCATATATGTGTGGTTGACAACAAACAAACACACAGGACCAAGTCTATGGACATTTGTGGACATGCTCATATGTGACTATGACCCCTAACTCTTGGCCATGTTACGTATGTGTCAGAAGATACATCTTTATGTTTCCCTTACATTGAATAAGTGTTAAATAGACTTGAGTTGTGAGGCCATGTACTTCATAGGTGGCTCCAACATTTCAGAAAATGTATCACTACCATGTTCTGGGTAGAGGTGTGAAGACTGAGGTTATATGTTCTTCTGAAACGGTGGTAACGTTGTGCGAAGAATGCCTTTGGAATTTTTGTGTACTTGAGGGAGTACATGTTTCCAATGTTGTTTTACCTATTTACAAGTTCTTTATACCATATTCATTCATTGCCCTCACAATGTAGCCTGTGTATCATAAAATGTCATTCTGTAACATTAGAACCAACAAATATGCTGTGCAACTGTTTAGGTTGAGTGTCATTGTAATCAACAATCAGTCAGAATACCATTACATCTGTCTGTAGTAGAAACTGCAATGAACAGAACCTGTCTATAACAGGATATGTACCTGTTTCTGTTTCTGAGGATATACAGTAAAACAGATATAAAATTATCTAGATAGATTAGTAAACAGAACCTATTTAGCTAAGAATCAAATAGGAGAAACAAAGATGTAATATAAAATGGCTGGATTATTTATTATCTGCTCACATAATATTCCAGTTCCATTAATTATCTGCATGGAACAGTTCTGTCACTAATTGGGAAGAATTTCGTTATTGTACTGTTAATACTATTGGAAGAAGCTAAAATAAAATGTGCATTGCTCAGTAACTGTAATGCATGTATGTAGCATGGATTTATGATTGATGATGTGGTTCAAACAGTTATATCACATGAGGTTTGTTTATTCTTTCTCTTCTGGTATTCCGTAGCTGTCTTAAAGGGGAACTTGCTTGAAACAGAACAAAAAATGTTCCAGTTCTTTAGGATATCAGGTAACTAGGTTTTTCTATATTATGTAATTGTATCTATTTCAGACAAACACTACATTGAGCCAGAACTTGGATAAAGAAAAGGGAAAAATGAGAACATGTGATACTGAATTTATGTGCGAGACACCAAGGAGCAGAAAGCTTACAATGGAAAAAGAATTACCCGAAGAACAGGTGAGAATCTCCAAGTCAGTGCCTGCTTTTTGTATTGTCTTATTTGTATGCAGTGCATGAAATGACAGCATTGTAGGCAGTCAGTGTGTCCATACTCACTACATGTTTCATTTGTGGAAGTACTTAAATTATTTTGATGAAATTTGGTATTTGAGGGGAATACACTAAAAGTTGTTGGACAAATTTCATTATGTGCTGTATTGGTCTAATTAACCTCTATTTTACTTTAATCTTAAATCACTCTTTATTTATTTCCTGCAGAGTGGCTCTCCATAAACATAACTTGTGCATGAATCATGTCATATTAGTCTCTTTAAAATCTACAGGTTTTATTTCAAACATTTTTTGATGTTGTGACTATGTAATTAAATGAAAGGAAGAATAATTTATCTATGAAACAGCATGTTAGTGTCTTTAATAAATGAACATCACAGCCACTAGGAAGTATGTAAAAATAGCGAAAAATGCAAATTTCAGACGGTACTAAAATAATATAAAATGACGTTTCAGAGATGGGGTTCTATCTCCGTCTTCAGATACCTACTCCATTGGGCCCAATAGATATCGCCTATTACTTCTTAGACGATGGAAAATATCCAAGAAAATTTTTATTTAAATGACCCACCATCGTCACGAACTTTTAGATTTGATGTACTAAAATAAAGCATGTTTTTATTTCAGGAAAGCATTGTGGAAGAGTGTTCATGTCTGGATAGTCAGTATGACAGTGTACTGAACTCACATGAATTATATTTGAAATCATTGGAAGAGAATAATTCAGCTGATTTGAGGAGAATAAATATTTCCTTAAGTACCACAGAAGCAGCTGAATGCAGCTCAGATGGTTGTGACATAACAGTTACAGGTAAGCTAAAGCATTCATGACATTAGAAACTATAAAAATATAAATCTAAGTATACTTTATTGTATGCTAGTATCAGCCCACATTTCTCAGTGAATTAAGCGACCATGACAAAGATGTGTGGCAGCAGGCTTGTGCAGCTTTACTGCATAGCTTCCTAACCTTAGCATCCTGTTGCAGTGTTACATTGCTGATGAATGTGTGGTACATCTCTGGGCAGTGTCGTGAAATATTTATATCTGTGTCAAAGAAAATCCACATTTCTTTGAAGAAGTAGCACAACGTAAGATTTGAGGTTTTCACAGTGGTGAGTATGAAGATTTCTGTCTTCTGGGTTATTGCGCTGTGTAGTCTGGTCGATGTTAACCAACGTTTCAGAGGTCATACTGCCTCCGTCATCAGGGCGAATGATGAATCGCCGCATGCAAAAGGCCGTGCTTCTTGGGTCGCTCCGACTACTGCGTGCGCACGATCCCAACACTGTAGCCGCCCATCTCGTGCTTCGAGCCGTGACTACAGTTTCACCTGGCCTGCAAGCTGAATCGCCGCATGCAAAAGGCCGTGCTTCTTGGGTCGCTCCGACTACTGCGTGCGCACGATCCCAACACTGTAGCCGCCCATCTCGTGCTTCGAGCCGTGACTACAGTTTCACCTGGCCTGCAAGCATCGCGAGTTATGACGGCAACACGCCTGAAGTTTTTGGCTGCTTGTGGACCAACCAAACAATTGATTCATAATAATAATAATAATGTGATTAAGAAGGAAGCAGAGAAGATATTGAAATACAAGGACCTTCTCATAGAAATACAGAGAATGTGGAAGGTTCAGGCAAAAGTAATCCCAATAGTTATAGGAGTGACAGGAATATAATACATGTGGCACTTGCTAAAAACGATATGTATCCCGGAAATAGCTGCTGCCCTATGTACCTTAGGGACAAGGTCTGACTCGGGTACATGGAAGTACTTACCCCATAAAGCATAATTTTGCAACAAGACAGGGCTCCAGCCCATTATGCTGCTGATGTTCATGCTTTTCTGAGCAACTAATTTCCACTGTGGATTGGACAAAATGGACCTCTCATCTCATCTCCCAGATGTCCAACATGACCACCCACATTTGATAACTGGTTTTGGTCTTGTGTGAAAGAACAGTTTAGCATAATTCACATGCACTCTGTTGCTGAGTTACAGACAATGGCCATATCTTCAGTACCATTCCTTCAGTAATATTCTAGCAAGACTTCCCAGCAAACTTAGTGATGAATGCAAATATGTGTTGATAATGATGGTAATGATACAAACCAGTTGGATGGATGAGTGTTATGTGGTGATGGGTGTGACATCTCTTAATTCCATAACACTTGCATTGATATCAGCATCATGTTCCTTTGTAATTGAAATGTTTCCATACTAACACACTACTCTTGCGTTCTGCCTTCTGCACAATCTGATCAAAATTTTTGGCCATCCCTGAATTTATTCTGTAATGTTTATGTGCAGAATCAACACCAAATGACCAAGACCAAATATCTGAGCTTTGGTGTGAACTGCAAGCTTGTCAGGTACAGCTAAAATCAGATGAAGACTACTTGAAGAGGGAAGAGGAGGAAGCTGCATTCTTGGAGGAAGTCAACAAAGCAGTCGTAAGTATAAGTGCAATTTTAAAGAGTTGTCTCCGTTAGAGTTCGTGAGATTGTATACTCTGATGTGGGCCAATCGCTACGTAGACGGGTTATTGATTTACCTGACTGCAACAGCACGCCATCATCGGTCTAATTCGGAAAGTCTTTTTACATGCTGCCATCTGTACGCTACATTCAATGCGTACGAACAGTTGCATTATTTTCGAAAATGATTTTGATCTTTACAATATATATTGTATATTTAATTGTTTCGTTTCTTAATTTCCGTCACTTTGATGTGTTGAATTCAATTGTAACCCTCCTTATTTACGTATGGTGAAATCTGTGAGCGAATCCTTACGTATCATGTTACAACGCGCCTGGGTAACCGTAGTCACTATCTGTATCTTCGCCATAAAATTCTTTCTGTACTCATATTGTACATTTGTTAGTCTTAAAACGTATCTGTGCACAAATAGGAACCAGTTATAAAATATAAAGTAAGGTCTTTGTGCATAATTTCTTGTTGATAAATGTTGGTGATCGTGGCCGATTTCGCGTTTCCTCCACCTCGCGACTTTGATGCCTTCGTGTGAATTGATTACAAGTGTTGTGACACGAAAGAGTATAATTTTTTTTTACTTACCTGTGGCTCGACGTCCATACAAATTATCATCAATTTCCGTCCACCCATTGTCTATTTCGAAAATTCGTGCACATCACGCCATGTTCAGCTGACGCTGATTACCCCTGTTGGGTTGTGTTAGGTTAGGATAGGTTAATGGGGCATCTGCACAGAAGGTGATGTGCAGTGACGTGATGCAAGATGTCTATGTTAAGGCATTGTATGAATTTTATTATCGATTGCTGGAAATTAAACACTCAAATATTTCAATGTTCTTAAATTTTTTAACAATTTTGTGTTTGAGTCACTACCATGGCATTACACTTCAGAGATTTTACATTGGTCACCTACTTGTGGACCTCACAACACAAATGGCTAACGTCAATTATGCATGTTTTTAGGCAATTGTAGTTGTTGAATTGCATGAGTGGTCTGCTTCCGCTTAAGTGTTATTAATAAACATATTCAAATTTTGTTTTAAAGTATAGTGAGTGCATAACTCCTTGTTGTAAGAGTCATATATTGGTGATGGTGGCCGATTACGTGTTTCGTCCACCTCGCGACTTTGATACCTTCGTGTGAATTTATTATAAGTGTTGTGACACGAAAGAGTTTGAATTTTTATTACTTACCTGTGGCACGACGTCGATACGAAATTTCAGCAATTTCCGACCATCCATGGTCTATTTCGAAAATCCGTGCGCAGGTCACCATGTTAAGCTGACGAAGAATACCCCAGTTGGGTTGTAGTGGGTCAGTTAGGTTAGGTTAATGGGGCATCTGCGCGGAAGATGATGCGCTGTTACGTGATGCAAGATGTGTATGTTAAGGCATCGTATGAGTTCTATTATCGATTTCGGGATCTTGAACACTCAAATATTTCAATGTTCTCAAAGTATAGGACAATCTTGTGTTTGAGTCACTACCATAGCTTTACACTTCAAAGATGTTACATTTATTACCTTCTTGTTGACCTCGAAAGACTCTTGGCTCACGTCACTGATGCATGTTTTTATGCAATTGTGGGTGTTGAATTGAATTAGTGGTTTTCTCACGCTTAAGACTTGTTAGTACACATGTCAAAATTTTATTTTAAATGTATCGAGATATTACAAAGATCCGGCTTGTCAGAAATATATATGTATACATATGCACAGAAAAGTCACATTTAGACACGTCCAACTTCTCCAAGTCAGGTACACGTGGAATTTATTTGTCTGTCACCATAGGAATCACAAGCCTCTTTTGTGCACACATGTAATGTCGAAAGTTAACTCACGGAGTTTAATGCTACATTTCGGCAATTCACACTAACACGTACATCAGACCGTTAGTGTAATGTTCTACTTGTCTCCATCTTGCATACGTCACTGTATGGAGAACGTCATCTCGTCTTCACTGTACGAAGCACACAGTAGTTTAATATGTGTTGCAGGAAATAACACAGATAACAAATTTGTGAATTTGTTATCTGTGTGGCTGACCATGGCCGTGATTGTCTAGTGGTGGTTGACCACTGCACCATGAAGACATGTGGGGGAGTTGAGTTATAACTGCACACATTCTTAAACTTGGCAACACCTGCAGGTAACCAGCTTCTTCCACCAACTGGTCCCCTTACCCCTGGAAAAGAGCACCTGGTATCAGCTGAACAGGTTGCTGGGTGATGTAGTTCTTAAACAAAATATTTCTGCCCATTGCCTCCTGATCCATCATTCATAATAATTCCTGTGAAAATCACCATAAGCTTAATAGTGAACTTCTGTTGTCTTGCATTGGGTTCCATATTCAGGAAGTCTTGGGTTCATTTCTTGGTCTAGAGGCCAGCATCTTCATTGTTTGTATGTTATTTTCTCCCCATTTCTTCTTACTCTGTCCAGGAAAGTGATGGGACACAGCCATAGACCAAGTCATTATTGGTTCATTACACATTGTTGAAAATTTAAGCAACCATTCAAAGTCTTGGTACCATTGAATGATATTATGTTATTTTATCAAGCTTCAAAACACTTATAGTCTTCATTCTTTCTGTATCTATCAGAGGCACCGATATCCAATTTCCCATGTTTCTCTGCCAATACTGAGTATGCATTTTGTAGTTATTTTACCATTAGTATAGGAGCAGCACCCTCTAACCACCTAACTTTGGGTACTGTAAAGCTGGGTGACCTATACAAACCATGGCGTTTTTTATTATATCCTCTATTCCCTGCTTACTTCAGTCCTCATAGGCCCAGGTATTTTACTCGACACTTTCTTCCCAACACTTATAATATGTCTTCCTCTCACAAAATAAGAGACAACATTTCACAATCACACAAAACAGCAGAAAAAATTACAAGTGGGCCTGAACATTATTAACTTCAGATGTATCTGTTTATTCAAAGGTTTAACATCACAGCCTAAACAACATGTTTGTTTTTCTCTTTCTTTTTATAGTATGATCGGATGCGTGTCCAGCAGAAATTAGTTTTAGATGCCATCAACAAGAATGAACAGTTGCAAGAGATAAAGAACAGGCAACAGTTAATGATTGACCAGAAGGATCCTGTGATGTGTCAACAATGCACATTCTCAATAGGATGTGAAGAATTACAGCAAGACAAACAGGCAGACAAGGTATTCAAACAAAATGACCTGACATGTATTAGGAAGTACTTTTATATTTTGTGACTATTATTAACAGATTCTTAAAAACATAAGGATACTATTTTAACTGCAAATAATGTTAAATGAGATGTGAAGACAATCATGAATGGTGGATAGTTAAACAATTGAAAGGTGTCATAGCCTGTTTCAAGGTCTAACTTGGCATTTGTCTGGTGATTCTGAAGAAAACCATAAAAAATTAATCAGGACTTCTAAATTTAGGTGTTAGATTTGGTTTGTTTTGTTGACTGAACTGACAGTCCTGAATAGTCACAGCATTTGAGTCAAACTCATATACCTTATACCCTATAATTTAAATTTACTGTGTCATGACATGAGATTCATTAATTTAAGCACTGTCTATATATTAAGTTTTAGTACATTCAGTTCAGTAGATAACATTTAATGCATTAAGTGGTACAAAATGCAAAATATACAAATCATTTATATAACTTCTTTTCATTTTCAAGGTGAATAAAGAGACTTCATTGCGTGCATATGAAGAAAAATTGAAAGTGGATAGAATAGTTACAGAAGTGGGACATTTAAAAGATACTCTGAAAAAAATGCAAGAGGAGAAAATCAGATACAAAGCGCACCGCTTATCCCGTGATGGACATATTGCACAGCTGGAGCGTGCCATTCAGAAGACAGAACGTGAAAAAAAATGAAATTCTCAGATGTGGAATTATGCGAAACTGAATGGTGCTACTGGCGAAATTGTCTGTTTCTTGTATCCAGACATCGACTGTGAGACACCTTCAGCATTTCCAGTATGAAAGTATATGAAGTTAACAAATTTGAACTCTGTAGATGACTGCCTTCTGGGCATTGCCTCCAAGTTATGTGATGCTTCAAAAGGCTTGCTTACTTCCTTCATCATCACAGCAGTAAGACCAATTGGAGAATAGGGTGAGGACAGAGCGATCAGTTGCAGGAAGGGGCACACTACAGTGAACTGTAGAATACAGAACTGTTCCTTGCTCCTTTACCTGGTCACAGTGGAATGGTTGGTCTTTCCAATGCAGCCCTGACCACATTTGCAGGGCATGCTTCCCATGTAGAAGGCCCGCATACTCATCGCTGTGCACAGACAGCAGCCTGCTGACAGATGGTAAAAAGGTGATGGAGACAGGGTTCTCTGGAGTGTTTGGTGGATTGAGAACCAATTGAATCTTATGGTTACTGTAGCTGTTCTGCTGAAAGTTGCCCTGAGAAACTCCATTGCTGGGTGCTCACAAATTCTACTGTAACCCCTATCTCAGTTCTGACTACCACCACCCTTCCTACAAATAGGCTGTACTCCATGGTGGTGCACAGGGTCAGATCTGTTTGTGACCAGGAAAACTCTCAGGGCCACTTTTAGGCAGAATAGCTACAGCGACTAGTCAATCTGACAGGCTGTCTCTCAACCGGAGAGTAGAAGCATGACCTTCAGCTGAATCAGCAGGCTTCTGTCATGGCACATCAAATCTGTGGGGCTTCCCCAAGGAAGATTTTCAGTTCCTTTCAGCATGTGACGGACTGCTTAGGACTCATTATTCCACGTATATACACAGTGCCCTACAAATGTGGTCAGGTCTACAGTGGGCAGACCAGCTGTTCCTCCAAATCCAGATACATGTGCCAGGTGATCAGGGAGACAATTGGGATTGTTATACCCTCATATGAACAAGAATTATGATCTACACCAGAGCCACTCCATCAAAGGACATAACAGGCCTCTGCTACAGAAGCAGTGCTTGTCCTGAGATGGCTACTAGGCCAGTACATGCCCTTATCAGGAGTGAGTGAGTTACAAATATCCCCAGTGTCCTTTGTCCCCTATTCCTTATTTTGCTCTTTTTTATCCTTGTGGTCTGCCCCTTCTTCCATTTCTCCCTTGCTCTCTTTTTCCTCACCTGATCCCTGTCCCCTTTGCCATTTGTCTGGCCAAGGTTCTAACTATTCCAACATGTTCCTGTATCTTGGTGATATTTTTCATGCGGAGCTTACTCAACACTCAGATGATGGAGGTGGTGACCACCTTTGAAGTGTCAGTAAACTTCTACCAAACTACACAATGCAACATTCTTACCACAAGAACAACAAATGTACACTTCAAATATAGTTTTGGCAATAACCATCGGTGCAATAGGGAATGTATGAATGTAAATTGAAAGTGTAAAATAAATTGTCTAAATTTCAGTGTTTTTACAGAATTGGTAATTAAACTGTGTTCTTCAAATTGAAAGCTGGATTTATTCTGTTCACTCTTACAGATACTTATTTCTTCTTTGATTAATGTTCTGTTGAAGATGGGTGTCTTCTGGAGAACAGACTTTATTTATATTACATAGGTCCTTCATAGCCCCAAGCCAAGGATGTAGAACATGTCATAGCACCAATACAATACTTGTTTCTAACAAAAATATAAATTACAGTTATGAGAGTAATATACTCTCAACTACAGTATTACTGCAAAAATAATTACACACGAAAGAATAACCACTGTTGTTTACATGTATTTATAATAGCTGAGAATTTTTGGTTGAGGTAAATTCTTCTATGTAATAGGAGTGAGATAGGAGACATTCTTTTAGTGCTGGATTAAACTTTGTTATATCGTGATTAAGACTTCTTATAGTGGAGGAAGATTATTGAATAGCTTAATTCCAGTACAGTAAACTCATTTTTGAAATATACTGCTTAGTGTTTGGCACATGAAGGTTGTATCTGTATCTTGTACTTATATTTTGGATATATGAGCTTGTTTGAAATTTGTACTGTCCATTACAAATGATAATAATGAGAGCAAGAATTTGCTGGCTAGTGGAAGAATATTAAATTTCTTAAACAATTCCCTACATGAGGCTCTCCTTTTAGTGCCTGTCATTGTTACACTGATTTTTTATTTATTTAAGTAAAGAAAAAAGTAAAGCTGTCCCACTATATGCCATGTAGGCGCTTGAGGGGAGGTATAGCTCCTACTCGTTCTTGACCTTGGCACTAGATGGGGGTGAGGGGTCAGCATAATGCCCCAGCCACGCTTTACCCCCGGGAAAGATCGCCAGTACCCATTGGACAGGAGGCTGGGTGGGCCCCAGAACTGGTCAACAAAGAGGCTGTTGGAAAAATCCTCTGCCCCCGTCGGGGATCGAACCCCGGTCGTCCAGTCCGTAGCCAGTACTTTACTGTTTTTTAATACTTTTTGTTTGTTGAGTTTCCTCACAAAATAATTCTATATGGCATGATTGAATGGAAGTAGAAAAAATAGACTAATTTTAAAGTTTCTGTTTTCATGAGTGATGTGCCAGTTCTCATAGCAAAGCATACTGCGTTTAATTTACGGATAATTGTCAACATTTAATGTGAGTTTATTGGCTTTAAGCTAGCAAAGATATCATTACTAATTTGGAAACAGTTTCTGGGTGTGAAATGATATACCGCATTCAACAACTTCACCATTTGAGGTTATCGAATCTCAGCAATTGGCTGTAGTGTACGGAGAAACCAAAGAAGTATTTGGTTATCGGTGGCCTGTCTTCCAATTAAGATTCGAATACGAGATCCCCTGCACAGGAGCATGAATGAAAACCACTGCATCGTACGCTCGGTTATACTGAACAGGTATGATACAAGAGCAATCAAAATTACAGAATTATTAGGTATTAAATTTATGATTGTGTATATACATTCTCAGGTCTTTTCCAATTATTTTCTAGTTTTTCAGTTAGGGTAAAATTAGTGGATAGATCAAAGGTTGTGGTTTCTTTACGGCCGAAACAAAACGAAAACTCTATAATTGTCATATCTTCTGCATCACAGATAATGGTTCTGCAGTTATCTGTACTGGAAGAAGTCAATAATATATTTGACAAATATTGTGAAGTCTGTAGCCGAGTGCAGTTGAACGTTCTGTCCTAGTTATTTTGACAATGCAGTATACCTTGAGAAACACATAACAAAATGTGGAACACTGCCGTAAGAAGATCGCATTTTGAATATTTATGGAAAACATCCTTTTCTGGTCTTCAGTGACTGACCACGTGGTGTATAATTGAAGGCTGTCATTTTTATCGAGAAGGTTGCATTCGCGGTCTTGTGCAATCTATACATGGTTAGTTTGTCGTAAGGTAATGTGAAGAATGACACAATAGGATCGTTTTTCGTGTTGTATTTGTATGTTCAAATGGAAAGCACTGGAAGAAACATACTTATGGCACTTTTATTGACGGGATTATTTTCTGCTTTTACATATTTAGCAGTGAGTAGCGGTTTCTTTTCATTTAAATTTCGAAAGTGTATGCCAATGATAGAACGGTTACATATTTTACCAGGGTTGAAACCCACTGTTGTCAGCAGAAAGAGACGAGAGTACACCCTAACAGACATATATTACAGAAAGTGTACAGTATGTAATTAAGCACTTTAAAAGTTGTATGAGAAGTATAAATGTTTTTCTTTTTATATTCAGCTAAACCCACCACAGATCCATAAATGTTTACAGGATTAACTACTCAGTTACTGAATTTGGAATTTGTTTTCTGTTATTAAAGGTAACACAATTGCATTGAATTTGGATTTATTTGTAAGAATTACACACATAGCTTAACTTTTTCAGGCATTTTATAAAATTCAAAGTAAATTAATGTATTGCCTGTTACATGTATAAAATTCCATCTTCTTCTGTTTGAACAGACACAGTGTGTTTAATGATTAAACAATTTTGGTACCTGATTGTGTCATTTGCCTGAACCACCTCCTTCCACTCTCATCTTCCCCGAAATGCATTTATTTTCACAGTAGAGATCAAGTGTATTGTATGAACTATTTAAAATATTGAGAATTTTGTTTTCAGAGAAATTTAAGAGGTCGGAAAAGAAAGCCATATGGGAGAAACAGAAGTCTCATTCGGCATATTGGGTCAGATCTTCCACTTAAGTCACTGCCGAGATTCTACCTGGGTCCTGAAGTTATGGGGGATGTCTGTGTCCATGATTGCATCCTAGAAGATTATTCTGGATATATCAGGAGCTATGGGTAATGTAATATTGTGATAGAGACAGCTGTTTCCATGATTTCCATACCTCTCTATTATGAAAAGATGTACACATATTTTCCAGACTCATCCTTTGTATGCCTGAATGGTTTTTATGTTTGTTTATTGTAGATATGAATCTGGTGTTACAAAGCCAATCATACTACCTAGACTGAAGAATTATTTTTCCATATATTTCAGTAAATATACTGTATTAAAAAAAGTTTAAATGTAAGTCATAGATCTCGATTAGATCTGTATCTTATTATATGTAGCAATTTTTTGTATAATGAGCCATTTTTAGAAAAAAATTGATGAAGTCTTATTTGAATTTCATATAGTACAGGGTAACCACTGCCACCAGGTAATAACAGTTAATAACAAATAATAATAATATTTGAACCATGTGAATGCAAACAAATTTTCCCCTGTAAATCTTGAGTGTATCCCTCACTTCCAGTCACAATACAGAATTTAATATAAATCTTCCCAGTAGTTTTGGAGGTAAAACATGGGAACTGGTACAGAGTGCCCATTATATGTTTATGATGCTGTATGAATGACATTCTTCTTTGATAAACGGGCTTTCTGGTCACAGAAGATTCCTTGCTACACATAGTCATGAACTAGCTCGTTACAGTTAGATATTTGTAATTTGTGTTCTTCTGTCAGAGTGTAAAATTATGTTTTGCAACTGTTCGTGTGATTTTTTTAACCTTTAGTAAGTGTTGCTTTTTGATTTTCATGGCAGGAGAAACAGCCAGAAGTCTCAGCTAATATGTAGTTCTATCCGTCATCACAGTAGCATAAGGAGCAGCTTATCTGTAGAAGAACATGATGGTGAGATTTTGGCACTGCAGAAAGAGGTTCACAAACTGCAAGTTATGGTGCATGAGTTGTGGCTGTGTCACCAAGCAGGCCTGTCATCTGGTAAGTTTGTTTTACAGTATCTGAACTTACTCAGTATTATACTGCCCTTTGTATTATATACATATGTTTGAATTTACATAATTGTTTTTGCCCTTCATTAAGAACAGATTATTATTGTTACAGCAACAGTACTACAACTTCTAGCAGAATAGCAATTCTGATCATTTGTCCATTTGTATGTTTTACAAAAGCAGCATTATCAATTTTGTATCAACGCACAGAGAAAACTAGACATCAATGGAGAAATCTGTGTTGGACATCTTTGTTGTATACATTACTGCCAGTTTAATTAAGAACTACACCATCATCACAATATTTTATTACTGTATAAAATATTAGACTACATGTAAGTTAAATTGAAAAGTATAGAATTAGCAGTGCACTTTAATTTCTTTTCAATGCTTTAATTTGTAGTTTGTGAAGAGACAGTGAATGCCATGAGCTGCGCCATTCCATCAACATATGCATCGCCAACACGACTACTTCCACCTCCACCACCACCACCACCACCCCCTCCCCCTCCTCCACTGTCATTAACACCTGCACCTAATGCACAACGGAAATTAAAACTCACCAGTTTGTGTCACGTTGATTGTGGAAGACAGACTCTACCCTCACTGGGAGACATTTTAAAGGATATTACTAAAGTGAAGCTGCGTCCTGTGGAACGATCTCCTGGTGGAAATCCTATAAGACGCCCTCTAACGCCTTCAAAATCTTCAACTGATCTTGCTGCTGTGTTAAAGAAGAGATTTATAGCAATACATAATCAAACTCCAACATCACCTTGTCATGACTCCGTTAGTAACAGTCGTAACTCATCAAATTTATATGTTCAAATATTTTATCAATTATTAATTAATGTGGTTCAGACCTGTTAATGAGATGATTGAGCTTGTTTCTGCCGCCCATATAAGAATTGCATAAAGGAGAGAGAGAGAGAGAGAAATGGCGCTCCCAAATCGAATGTCCTTACGTCCGGTTCTCCTGTGGCTAACCCTAAATCTGGCCCTGATTATTCAGTGTTTATCATAAAATAATAATTTTTTTTTTTAATTTCACGTACCCCCTAAGATGTCTTTGCATACCCCAGGTTGAATACCACTGCTCTAGACCAGTGGTTCTCAGAAAACTGTGGTACCAGAGATGCATTCCAGGGTACCATAAGTTTTCATTCATGTGATGCAGCATGTACAAAGTATGACCTTGCAACCTGAAATTAGTTCACATACTTTTCACATTTAAAACTAATATAACCAAGCTGCACAGTATACTTTCTCTTCTATCGGTAATACAAATGTAGGTTGCATATTTTCCGAGTTTCATTTGCATGGGGTGCCAGACATTTCTTTGATTTCATCAGGGGTACCAGATACAAAAAGTTTGAGAATCACTGCACTAGACTGTTGTCACTGTTGTCTTATTTCTGATATATGGTCGATGTCATTTGAATGTACCGTGGACTTGGTTGAGTCCATTAACAGTGAATCCTTTAGTAAAGCAGGCGTAGGACAGTGGCTATGTAATTTATTAAATTTTCATGGCAGTGTGAATATCAGTGATCTTCTGGGTTTTTGGCACGCGGCCAGAATACTACATGACAACCTGAAAGATCATAAGTGTGTCTAATTCAGTATTTACCTGTCTAACTGATTTATCATTTACTCACCCATTAAAGTAATTAACTAAGACTAGTAACAGAATTTAAAGAAACAAGCAAGTTGGCTTAGGTTTTTATTTGGGAGGTACACTGATTATTCTGACTGAAGTTTTTGTGTTTTTCTCATTTCCTTCATGCAAATTTTATTATTGTAATTAAACAGGTCTCAGCCACTTTATTACCAGTTCTTTCAAGTTCACTAGATCTGATAATCCTCTCATATCATTTAACACTGGGTGAACTTAGCAGTTTATACAGCATCATTAAATAACCTGTCATACATCCATCTATGAAATAAATATTGTCTTTGCATCTCATTCTTGATATCCATTTTCAAGGAGGCTTCTTCACAGAATTGTGTAAATTGTATACATTTTTGTCTTCGTTGTCTGAGCTACTGTCCAGCCCTCCTACTACCTACTTGATATGACTATCCTAACACTAGGTTATCTGTATAAATCTCAGAGTTACTCAAAATTTAATTTTGTCCATTCCCTGCTTACTTTAAGTTTGTTTCATCCAGATATGTTCTGAGCACTTTGTATTTGAACACTTGTTTTTTCATATTTCCACCAAAATAAGGGACCGTGTTTGATATCTATGCAATATATCATGAGGGGAAGAGACCGCTGGGGAGACCTAGACGTAGATGGGAGAATAATCTCAGGTGGGATCTATCGGAGGTCGACGTTGAAGGAGACTGGATTTTGTCGGCCCAGGACAGGGTCCGGTGGAGGGAAATGGTTAATTCGGTGATGAATCTTCGGTTTCCCTAAGCCATCTGGTTAGTTATAAATATCTTATGTAATTTTGTTGTCTACAGATCTCCTGGTGGAAATCCTATAAGACGCCCTCTAACGCCTTCAAAATCTTCAACTGATCTTGCTGCTGTGTTAAAGAAGAGATTTATAGCAATACATAATCAAACTCCAACATCACCTTGTCATGACTCCGTTAGTAACAGTCGTAACTCTCAGGTAAAACTTGATAACAGTGCACATATTAGTTTTGTCTTAAAGCCAGAATAATACTTCAAATTCACCCAAATGAACCCACAAAACCCAGGCGACCGGGGCAGAGGATTTTTCCTCTAGCCTCTGCATCCAGACCGGCTCTGGGGCCCACCCAGCCTCCTATCCAATGGGTACCGGGGTCCTTTCCCGGGGGTAAAGCCGGCCGGGGCGTGATGCTGACCACTCACCCCCATCTAGTGCCGAGGTCAAGAAAGAGTAGGAGCTATACCTCCACTCCCCCTAAGCGCCTACATGGCGTATAGTGGGACAGCTTTACTTTACTTTTTTGTAACAGACAGCCGTCTTGAAATTATGGGTGGTAACTGCCGACAGAATTAATAAATATGAAGGATGTACTGGGACACTGAAGTCAGTTTTCGTAATTCATGTTTCTGCAATATTTAACCCTATTTCTGTCAAGTTAATAAAATAATTACAAGGCTGTTTCACAAATCTTGAATGAAGCAAAGAAGAGAGACAATTACACTAACTCTGGTAGCTGTAGTTGGATGTTAAACACTGAAGCCTGCCTTTGGACATAATCCTGGACAATTTCTATCTAGTGATGAGCAATTCTGGTAAATGTTACTTGTGGGCGGTAGTTATTTTGAGTAGTGACTATGATCATTGGTACTGTCAGGTTACGAACTACCTATACGGCCTTGTGAGTGTGGGAATAGAGGGATGTTAAACAACAGGTGCTTTATTATTCATAGCAAAAGCATTTATTCTGGTTGTTACACGGATGGTGAATTAAAGAACGTATTAATTTAATTCTATACCCATTTATAATTTCTCACAATTATTTTATTTGTGAATTAACTGTGTTCACATTAATGAAGACACGATTCTTTTTCTTTTTTCATTTATTTATTTAGTTGAAATCTATACAGAGGTTGTGTCTGCTTAACACTGGGAAATGTGGGATTCTTACAACTGGCATCTGCTGGGAAGAAACTGAGTTGTCTTTTTTTCCTTTTTTAGTTTGACCGGGACATGACAGAGACCTGCAAACTGCTTTTCGTGTGAAAATAGCATAACTTGAAAACCTTCTTAACAAGTCAGTGTTTTAACTGTATATTTATGAGCATATAATTGTTTTTTATATATATAATCATTCTTAATTATTAATGTTAGTAATTCTCCTGTTTTATATAATTTGTAATGAATCACAATCAAAAAATTATTATTTTATGTTAAATCTTTTATCTTATCTTTTGGTAATAAAATGTTTGGAATTATAGAGTTTAAGTGTTTAATTGTATGATAAATGTAGTTGATTTTGTGATAAACTGAAACACACACCATAGAAATTTATGGAGTGAATAGTAGATTCTTTCACCTCTTAAAATAAGCTAACAAACACTATAAGAAAGACACTAGTGCCAAACGCGTTTCAACCTCAAGAGGTCATCATCAGTGGCAACAGGGAAACTAATTCATTTAATCAAAATGGTTTAGAAAACAAATCATGAAGTGGAGTATTTTACAAAAGCATATCATGCAACACTACACTATATTTTGGTTTCACAGGAGTTGAACTCTGCACGTAGCTATTGATCCGATGGTCTGTTGGCAGCAGCTGGTCTGCGGTGAGCCATGGTTGCGTCCTCCGTATCTGTGAACTCCAACGAAGCAAGGGTGTTACTGGCACTAGTGTCTTTTTTGTAGTGTTAATAGTTGTTTGTTTGCTTATTTTATGTTCTAATACACTACACGGTACGCAAAGTTTTAAGATCGTTCACCTCTGATAAATGTAAAACCATGTGAATTTGTGAATACCATTGTTTTCCAGTTCAGGGCCCTTTTAAGCTGCAGATCCCTGTGGCCAGCCATCGTTACCATTAGAATATAAAGGTGTGCCTCCACTTCAGAAAGCCGACATGCACACAGGGGAGTGAGATGTATAAGACCCATAACCTGAGGCAATAACTGTTTCTTTGAAGATTTCTGTCTTCAGGGTTGTTGCGCTGTGTAGTCTGGTCGATGCTAACCAACGTTTCAGAGGTCATACTGCCTCCGTCATCAGGGTGATGAGTATGAAGATTTCTGTCTTCTGGGCTGTTGCGCTGTGTAGTTTGGTCGATGTTTACCAACGTTTCAGAGGTCATCCTGCCTCCATCATCAGGGCGATGAATATGCCAATAGGGTGTGTGGGGCTAGGTTTATAGGTGCCGGAATGTGAATGGAGTAGCCTGCCCCGAGCCAATAGGAGCGCGTGGGCGAGTGTGAGAGAGGGAGAGAAAGGAAAGGGAGGGGGGGCCTCGGGAAGTGCGTCCGGTGGGACATGGGAGTTCGGTTGAATATAATCGGGGCCCTGATGACGGAGGCAGTATGATCTCTGAAACGTTGGTAAACATCGACCAAACTACACAGCGCAACAGCCCAGAAGACAGAAATCTTCATACTCATTGCCCTGATGACGGAGGCAGTATGACCTCTGAAACGTTGGTTAGCATCGACCAGACTACACAGCGCAACAACCCTGAAGACAGAAATCTTCATACTAACCGCTGTGAAAACCTCAAACCTGTTTCTTTAACAAAATCCTTTGTCACATGAAATTTTGACATCTTGCACAGGCATGCATATGAAATCAAGTACATTGTCCACCTACAATGATTAATAGCTTCTGTCAGGATTGTATTTCTGACGTTGTACACGTGTGAGGCAGACTTCAATCCACCCTGTTGGTAGGATCATTGCCAGAAGAGGGGACCAATGGTTTGACGTGGGCCTTCTGAACTGTGGTGGGGCCTATTATTCCTGGCTTTCAGCTATTGTGATTTTTGGAAAAATTGATTCTGGATCAGCGATCAAAAATCTGAGACCTTTTATTTATAAATCCAGCACCTTGGTTTGAAATTTGAAGGCAAGAGACTACATGGAACACATAGGTATGGATGGGAGGATATTAAGATGGATTTTATGGAAATTGAGTTGAGAGGATATGAACTACATTCACCTGGCTTAGGATAGCAACCACTGACAGCCTCAACATGGTAATAAATCCCTGGGTTTCATGGAAGGTGGTGAGTTCTTTACTAGCTGACTGTCAACTTCAAGAGGTCTCTACTCAGTGACATCAGTTAACACCTGTGCCATCAGGTCTCCAGGGATTAATATATAGAGCTTTTTTACTTATGATGTTATTGCATAACTAGTAGTAATACAGTCCTATCCCAGTATTTACCTTCTCATATAGCAATTGTAAGAAAATGCTTTTAATTAAATATTAATGTTGTCTGTGCCTTTTAGTATATCAATTATGTTCAGTCAGAATAATTCATTAGATTTTAATAAAATGATACTATATTGGCCTTATCTGAGTAATTAAAAGCACAGATAAATTAAACGACTATAAGTGTATAATTTTACATAAGTAGGAAGCTGTAATTATATACAATTTAATTTGTATGCATAATTTCATTTAGGATTAGCTCATTTGTGGTATTGATTTCCAGTATGCATTACAGTTATCAGATATAACCTCAAACTTTAGCACTGTAGCCATGTTTGTAACATTGAATACAGTGGATCCTGGTTAATTGGGACACATCCGGACTTTGGCCCAATTAAGTGGCTGCCCCAATTATGCGAAGTTCCAAGTAAAGAGTTAAAAAGGTTTGTTCTTTAAGATATGTCCCAAATAAACGTCAGCTCCGATTAACTGATGGCCCACTTAATCGGAATCTACTGTATATTACAAAGTTTCCTACGAAATTTGTAGATATGTGTGTATTACTTTTCCTGTACAAAATTTCATGTGCCCAGCTGTACCCGTTCAGTAGTTATCGCTATAAAATCGAAAAATACATCTAGGTTTTGCGCAACCGCCATATTATTTTATATTTTACAACGTACGAATCTTAACAAAATTTTCATGTCCTGGTGTGATCTATTACGACACCGAATTCCACCCCCGCCCCACATGATGTGGCGATTGTATCACTGTTAAGAACTTTGGATCGGTTTTATGTTGGTATTACTGATGTAAGGAATTCGAAAATAAACGAGGCGATGGCATCTGATAGCGTGATATTCACACAACGTTTGTTGAAAATACATCAATTGATTTAACAGTTACCAGTGGGGTGAAAACTGATCTTAAAGAAATTGGGTTTCAACAATATTTATCTGATACTGGATAGGGTGTAGTGGAGAGCTCTTGTGAACATGATAATGAACCTCCGCGTATCATGAAAAGCTGGGACTACGAGCTTTCGAAGAAGGACTGTGTCCATGGAGGTGTGCACATGGTAAATATATGTTTGTGGCCAACAAGTAAGAAATTGTCAGTCACACGATGAATTATGTTGTCCTTGTCTTTCATATGTTATCTAATGGGGCAAAAACTTGAGAACAGAATTACATATCTAAAATGGTGTGTTTTCTTATCTTATCATTGAACAAATGGCGTGATGTGAAAGTTCCGTATTTTTTCAAACATATCAATCAGGTTTCCAGAACAAACTTAACCTGCTGATACGTTCAAAAAGTGTGGAATGGTTAACTCCGAATGCCCTCTATGCGATTATGATCTTCACGTTCATTTATTGCAGATATAAATTTATTTTTGACGTAATTAATTAACAGCGGAGATGCTGGACTTCAGAGTAATCATTCTAATCAGCATTAAGGTACAAGTACTACAAACCAAGAGGATCGGAGTACGCAGTTTATGCAAATTCCTTGCATCTTGGCGCCTTGCATTTTCATAGCGGTTACGAATAATCTTGATAAAAGCAACGCATTCTTTAAAACTAAGAAAGAGAATTTCTAGAATCAAAACTCAGTTTTAACCACGTTATACTGTCAGGCTATCACTAAGAATATAAACATAAGTTTTAATCATTAAATTGGATCCTTTTGCGCTAGTGTTCTATATATCAGAAACTTATCCCTGAGAAGATATGAAAGTTTCAAATACACGACCTTGAAATGTATTTGGTTACATATTATTCAGTATATGTCAAGATTTCTCGAAAACTGTCATTGTTATAGAAATGTACGTGTATATAAAACACAGCATTTAACTAGACAAGACACTTTCACTTGAAACGTTACATATCGTTTTCTGGTACAATGTAACTCGTGGGTCAGCCCCTGAGGTACATAGTGCAGTAGCTTTTTCTGAAAT